GCGCCAGAAGGAAGAAGGACAAGAGCTTGGTATCGTTCCAGAGCTGGTGTCCATGGAAGAGTTCCCCAGACAGACCCCTACCTGGACCATAGTGCTTGCCAGGACAGAGGGCAATCCCTGCTACAGTGGGAGAGGAGGGGGGTGTGGACAGTGAGGAGCTGGGCATGGCCTGGCAATGCAACAGGCAGCAGAGGCTATGCGGTCCTGCACACCATACACAAGCTGCACCAGAGTATGCGGAGAAGCCACTTCTGGGGCAGGCTGTGCTGTTCTTGGGCACGGCAGCCAAGGGTTCCTGACCCCAAAGATCACTCCTGCCAGGCACTGCCAGGCCAGGGCCCAACACACCAAGGCCTGCACCCTGTTGCCCTCATCTTTGGTCAGCAAACGAGTAAGCCTGCAGTGGCCACCTGGGGTCTGGCCTCAGTGACCACCTCTCTCACGCTCCAGCACACACAAGGCCGAGTCAGCGGCAGTGCCCGGTCCTGGGCCAGGCAGCAGGCATAGCGCTCGGGCCGCCAAGATGGCAGCCAGGCTCCACCCTCAGCGCTGCGGACCATGTTCTGCTTGTCTGTGAGCGGAGCAGCTGCATGTCGCTGTGCCTAGGACCATGTGGTTCCTGCAGCCAGCACTGCGGAGCATGGAGCAGTTTCTGTCTGCAGTGAACTCCCTGGAGTTGGCCTCCGCCGAGAGCCATCCGGGAGGTCACTTCCTACACCACAAGGCCTGCAGGGACGCCCTGTGCTGCCTCCGCAGCTCTCTCGCTCTCGCCCGCCTGTGCTGCAGGTCCCCTGCACTCTCATCACCCTGCGCGCATGGGTGCCAGTCTCTGCCTCCCTGGTGCCAGTCTCCAGCCCTCCCTCTGCCCAGCCAAGCCTGGCGGTGGCTCGGGCCTCCTGCACTGCCCTCCCCTCTTCCCGGGATGTGGGGCTCAGCTGTGCGCGTCCTGCACAGATCTGCGGGCTGCGCCTGTGCCTATCCACCTCTGCGACCGGCACAGGAGCTGGTGGGAAGTTGGGACAGTTCTTACTGAACGACTGGGTGAACAGCGTTTTTGATGGCTGTAAGGCGAGGCCCCGCCACCCTGCATCCGTGCGCGCGCAGTGTGCAGCCGGGTCCTTTGCCTCCGCTGAGGCTGCCCCCTCCTACAGACCGGACTTCTCTCCTCTGCAGCGTGCACCTGCAGCAGGTTCCCGCACCGGCCTCTCCAGCCGTCCTAACACTGCGGGTGCTCAGGTGGGCACCTTCCAGCTCAGCTGCAGCCCTCATCCGACCACGACCTTGGCAAGTCCTTGACCTTCAAGAACCTGACTCACTGGTACATACTGAGGGCCCAACCTGAGTGTGGCTACCTAGACCCTGTGCACAGGCTTGTCTTTACTGAGGATGCCAGGAAGCCCCCTGGTCTGCACTGACCACTGCCACCTTCAGGGATGACGCAGAGGGCGCCACCTGGCCACAGCAATGCCAGCCTATGGAGAGGAGAGTGAACGCCTTCGCTTTCAAGTTTTGCGCTGCAGTTACGTCCTGAAAATGTAGGTGCCGAGTCTGGCTCTAGGGAGCCAGGCAGAGAAGGAAGGAGGGTTTTAAGGCACTTCCGGGCACGATCCTCACTTGAGACTCCCCATTCCCCTCCCGAAGCCTCGCAGCAGGGCGTACAGCCTGCATGGAACCGAAACCAGAAATAGCAAAAGGCAAGCCTGGCTCTTCACTCTCCCCAGAAGCACAGACTTCCCAGCGTCATCTTTCCAACTCGTTTCCAAGCTCGGAATCGTTTCAAAGGCTCTCGCCAGGGATGCTTGTGCAGGAATAGAAAGCAAGGGGATTCTCCCCGGCGTGCAGGAGCACCCCAAACACTGTGCATTCACCATGCAGAGCAGTTTAAACCAAACCAAACCGGAAGCGAGCCGCTGCCTGCCTCACAGCACCACACTCCAATCCCTCCTCCGCACTGTTAATGTTGGTCGCCGAACGGGGAGGACCGGCTGTGATTCCGCCCTGGGGACCTCTAAACTGCTGTGCTTCCCTAATAAACTGCAGGCGCTCTGCTCCCGCCTTGGCTACAGGCGTGTGCAACATGCAGTGTTACCACGAGCCTGAGGTAGTGTCCCGACTCGGGGACCTCGGGCCGCAAGCCCAGGTGTCACCTCAGGGTTTCTGGGTGAAGAACCTCCCCACCCAGCCTCCCTGCGGGGACGTGGGCGGAGTCTGCCTTCCCAGCCTGCCCATGGCTGGTCTCCTGCTCCAGAAGAGCCCGGGACAGCCTCTCTTCCAGGATGCAGGGCAGAAACAGGACTCCCTGGTGCAAGGAGAAGTCTGGAAGAAGGTGTCCGGAGCCTCCGGGGCAGAGAGAAGAGCCTGCAGGAGAAGCTGGGTCCCTGGGCCCACGAGGGGCGCGCGGGCGGGAGGGTGGTGTGCACGTGACGCGTGGGAATGGAGCCCCTGCCAGCCCATGAGGGTGCCCTGCGGTGGGGGCTGTGCCTCCGCCTTGCCACACCCTACCCTTCAACTGGGGGCACGGGTGTCCAAGTCCACGCAGCCCCTGGTGCTGACGTGTCACCTGCGCGGGCTGTGGGGGCCAGTGTGGGTTAGAGACGTTCCCGAGAAGGTCTGGATCTGGGTGTGGGACACCCAGAGTGGCTGACGTGAGGAGGAGAGAGCGCTGCCACACAGCACGAGGGCCCCACCCCATCAGCCTTCAGGACAACGGCAGCAGTGTCCCGCAGGAGGGCTCTACCGTAAGAACCCCAGAGCCCTGCCCGGTCCCCACCTCTGGGCACACCGTACATCCGGACCTGCACGCCCGCCATCCCTCCGACCCGTCTCTCCCTTTCTGCGAACCCCACGGGTGCGGGCCTCCTCCAGGCTTTGGAGCCAGTCTGCCCCGGACAGTGGAGACCCCGGGGCGCTGTTCCCTGTTCTTAGGTGGCTGCCACCCGTGCTCTGACGGGGATCGAGGCCCGGTGAGTGACCGGAAGGAGCCCCCACTGCAGCCCTGCTCCCCTCTTCAAGGAGCCCGGGACTTGGGTTCCGGCCCCGAACCCCGAGTCCGCATAGTGCACGCACCCTGTGGTTAAAACCCCGGGGGAGCGCCTCCCTGCCCGCTTGTCCCGCTGGGAGCCCCCTGCCTTCCGGTCTCTGAGGGTCCTCAGGACGCACCCGCGGGCACAGCACGGAATCCGTGCGAAGTGCCCGGGGACCAGCGCGGTGGAGAGGCCCAGGAAGACCGAATCACAGCCTGGGGACCACCCCCGCTGCCCCGGGCCCTCCAAGCCCTGCCCCAGCTCCCGGCCAGGGGCCTCGAGGGCCTCCAGCAGGCCCAGCGCGCCGGACACCCACCGATCTCCGCGCCCAGCGAGGAGTTGAGGATGGCGCCGGCCGACATGACCACGGCGCAGCTGCGCAGGCCGCGCGGGTGCAGCTGGCTCAGGGCCGTGGCGGGCACCAGGCTCCGCCACCCGAGCGCGGCGAAGGGCGGCTCGCTGCCGT